TTGTTCACTGGATCTGAAAATTGTCTTGGGTTTTATGTTGCTTAGTCTTCTATCTACTTAATAATGTGACCCTATGTTATTCATATGTTATTCATATATAGCTACCTGTATATTTTCTCAAGACATTAATTGCTTTAGATAGTCTATTAATTTCATCTTCCTGAAGAAATTTCTCCAGGAGAGCCTAATAACCTATTCCACTTTGAATTAGCAGCCCTCTACACCAAGGGCAGAACTGTCATCTGGCATCCCCTGTCACCCCGTGGAGAATCCCTTTGCCTCACTCCTATATTGGGGAAGAAATTTGGACCTTTACTACCCCTGTGTTAGAAGTCCTGTTTCTGATATTTGATTCCATTTCTTGTTTTACTTCTTAGAAAGATTATAGGAAGTAAATTTTTTGAGATTTTGCATGTCCGATCTTGGATTGATAGCTTAGCTAGGTATCACACTCCGGGTTGGAAATTTTTTTTTTTCTTCAGAATCTTGAAGGTATTTCTCCATTCTCTTCCAATATCCACAGTTGCCACCAAGAAGGCTGAAACTGTCTAGCTCCTGATCTTCTGGTGTGATTTTTTTTCTTTCTGAAGGTTTATAGATTTCTCACTCCATCCTAAGTATTCTACAATTTTACTATGATATGTACTGATATTGATTTATATTCATTCATTGTTGTATATACTTAATATGTCCCTTCAATCTAAAAACCTCTGCCTTTCAAATCAATGAAAAAAATTTATTAATTTTATTACTTATTTCTCTCAATTTTCTCTGTTCTCTTTTTAAGAAATTCTGTTATTTAAATTTTGGGCCAAAACTGGTCCCCTGATTTTTATTTTATTTTATTTATTTTGGTGCTGGGGAATTGAACAAAGGGCCTCATGCATTGCCAGGCAGATGCTCTACCACTGCATCTCTACCCACATCCCCAACCCTTTTTCTTATATTTTCTCTTCTGTTTTCCATCTCTACTTTTCCCCTCTAGTTTCTAAGATGTTCCCTCAACTTTACATGCCAACCCTTCTTCCAAGTTTTCCATTTCTGCTCCTACATTCTTACTTTCCATGAGTTCTTTTTTTGTTCCATGAATGTTGCTATTTGAGTGTCCTCCTCTGGTTTCATGGGTGTACTATTGTTGGTTCCTTCACTAAGAATATTACTGATTTGGTTTTTGCTCTTGTATCTTCCTGAATAATCTCTGTTCTTCCAAGTTGTTCTTACAAGTGGCACGCACCTGTAAAATCCCAGTGGCTCCAGAGGCTGAGGCAGGAGGATCTCGAATTCAAAGCCAGCTTTAGCAAAAGCAAGGTGTTAAGCAACTGAGTGAGACCCTGTCTCTAAATAAAATACAAAATAGAGATGGGATGTGGTTCAGTGGTCGAGTGCCCCTGAATTCAATCCCCAGTACCCCCTTCCCCCCAAAAAAATAAAACCAAGTTGCTTTTTTATCTGCATTGTTTTTGGGAAGGTCTCTATCTCATTGTAGAGACATTTCTTAGATTCTGAAAGCCCATGTTTGCCTGCTTATTGTTTCGTGGTGGGGCTCTAAAAAGCTGATCAGAAACCCTGGTTCCGGGGGGATGGAGAGCTTATTGATTGATGTTTGCTATGGGCTAATCTGAATGGAATGTTCTGGTGGTCAGCATACAGATGCTGTACTATACAAATACTGGTATCTTCAGATTTGGGAAGGGTGCTGGGTTGAACCTAGGACTTCTCATGCATAAGGCAGATACTCTACCACTGAGCTACACCCCAACCTGTATCTTTAGATTTTTGATGTGACCCCATAGGCTTCCACCCTGGAGACCTGCTTGGATCCCTCTTTCTTAGAGCAAGTGAGAGAATGGGGCTGGTAGTCTCAGCATCCAGTGTACCTGGCATCGCTTCATTCTCCGCCTTGGGCAGATGCCCTCACTCCCGCTGTGTCCAGAGTCCCATCAGTTCAGGAATCCTCAGTGTCATCCTCTCTGGGGTTCTGGAACTGGCATGGGGGATAATAGCTCAGTGACATGGAGTTGGGGAGAGAGTTTAGGAGTCTGTTATGTGAGTAGCTTCAAACAATCTTATTTTCGATTTCCTTTCATCTCTACTTCTAGAAATACCTGAACCCTATTCCTGAGGCTTTTCAGGATTCTGTGGCTTATCACAGGTTGTTCCTGGTTTTTTCCACTACCAGTTTAGGAGTCAGTTTGCCGAACCTCACCACTCACCTATCTGATTCCCAGCTCCAATATTTTGTCACTGTTTCCCCTTATTATTCCCAACCCAAGCCCTCTTCTCTCTCTTTTTTTTTTGTCCCTCTTGCTCTCTCTCTCTCCAACCCACCCCAGAACAGAGATTAATACAACTTAAAATTAACCTTTCTAAAGTTAACAATTCAGTGGCATTTAGTACATTAACAGTGTTACACAGCCATTACTGCTATCTGGTTAAAACATTTTCAAGATCTCAAAGAAGAACCCATTTCTGTTAAATAGTTACTCTGTAATCCAAACTCTTAGAAATCACTGATCTACTTTCTGTCTCTATGTATTTAATTGTTTATATAAATGGAATCATACAATATGTCTTTTTTGGACTGGGGATTGAAGTCAGGGACACTCAACTACTGAGCCACATCCCTAGCCCTATTTTATAGTTTATTTAGAGACAGGGTCTCACTGAGTTGCCTAGGGCCTTGATAAGTTTCTGAGACTGGCTTTGATCCTCCTGCCTCAGCCTCCCTGAGAGGATTACAGGTGTGCACCACCACACCCAGCTCAATATGTTACTTTCACCCTTCTCCTTTTTCTTCTTCTTCCTCTTTCTGTGTGCTGGGGATTGAACCCAGGGCTTCATAAATGCTAAGCATATACTCACCACTGAGTTACACCCACAGTCCTATTCTGTCACTTAACATGTTTTAAATGTTCATCCATGTTTAGCATGTATTGGTACCGCATTTCTTATTGTGGCTGAATAATGTGCATTGTACAGATATACCACCATTGTCTTATCCACTTTCCACTGATGGGCATTTGGACTATATCTACCTTTTAGGCATAGTGAGTGCTGCTTTGAATATTTGTGTACATATATTTATTGGAGTACCTGTTTTCCATTCTTCTGAATATGTAATTAGGAGTGGAATTTCAGAGTCTTATAGTAATGTTTACTTTTTTGAGGAACCAACAACAGTGACTGAACCCTTTTATGTTCTGACCAGCAGTGTGAGAGAGTTCCAATTTCTTCACGTCCTTGTCAGCACTTGCTATTTTCTGTTTTTTAATTATTTTACCACTCTAGTGCACACAAAGTGGTATCTCATTATGCTCTTGATTTGCAATTCCCTAATGGCTAAGAATGTTTGATTTGCATTTCCCTGGTGGCACTTCTTTTCCTGGGCTTGTTGACTTCTGTGGGTTTAAATCTTTTTAAATTGCCCCTTCATTATAGTTTCGCTGGGATCTTGGGAGGGAATAAAATTAGATGTTTGCATCATTACCGAGACATCCTCTTCCCCAGCTTTCTTGCCTCTGGATGATTAGAATGGGGGAAAGGAATGACCTGGGGACTGGGAGGAGCCTGAGGTGTATATTGTAACAATTAAGAGCCCCTGAGCCAGGCATCAGAGGAACAGGACTCCAGATCCAGCTCTGTCTAGAGCTTCCTGTGTCATCTTCCTCTCTGAGTGTTGTTTTCCTCATCTAGGTTTTGACTGTGATCCTTAAAATTCTTTATAGTTCTCACAATGTGAACTCTTCCCCTAGTATGAGTTGTGTGTGTGAATAAGTGTGTTTGCATATATGCGTATGTAGATGTATGTATATGTGCATGAATGTGAGTGTGTATGTATGTGTGTGATCGTTGTGTCTGAGTGTGTCCCTCTTGACTCCTCCCTCCTGCACTCTCTCTGCAGTGGAACACACGGGCCAAGCGGGAGAAGTTGACTGAGCTGATGTTCGAGCAGTACAACATTCCTGCCTTCTTTTTATGCAAGACAGCCGTGCTCACCGCGTATCCTCTGGGTTGTGCTGCTCTGCTGGGTGGAGGGACAGGGTGGGGTGTATAGGCCTGATTCTCTGGAGATCAGAGTCAGGACTCTGATCAGAGCCAGACTCCTTCCTTAGCCACACCAGGACTAAAGACCCATGGGCAAGTGCCCAGGACTTCGGGAGTCCAGATAAGTGGCCTTTCCCCATTCCATGGATCAGGCTGAGCAGAGAAAGAGCTGGGCTAAGGGGACAGCAGGAGCTGGGACTGGGCAGAGGAGGGAGGGGTATATGACTCTGAGGCTGTCCCTTCTCAAACCACCAGTCAGCATTGGTTTTTTTCAGCATCTGCTTTACACAGAACCCTGTGCTAAGCACTCACTGGCGGGACAGGGACCATAATTCAGGGAGCCCAAATCTTAGAACCAAGAATAAAGAGAGGCTGGAGTTCCATAGGAACAGAGGAAGAAGTTGCAATTCACCCAGGAAAGAAGTGACTGAGGTCTGAGGAGCCTATCTCCAGGAGAGGGGCCATAAGTCAAGGGGAGAGTCTTGCAGAGTGGGGGTTGGATGGGCCCCAGGAAGAGTGGGGAACCAGGCCAGCCCCTCACTTGCCACAGCTGTCTCTTTGACTGACCCATCCCACACCAGCTTTGCAAATGGACGTTCCACGGGCCTCGTGTTGGACAGTGGGGCCACCCACACCACGGCCATTCCAGTGCATGATGGCTATGTCCTGCAGCAAGGTGGGGCCTCAGCAGGGGCCAGGGGGGCTTGGAGAGGGCCAGGTCCTGACACTGCCTCCTCTTCCAGGCATTGTCAAGTCGCCCCTGGCCGGGGACTTCATCTCCATGCAGTGCCGGGAGCTCTTCCAGGAAATGGCTATTGACATCATCCCCCCTTACATGATCGCAGCCAAGGTGGGACCTCTGGGGAGTCCAGAGCTGCCACCATAGAGTCCTGGGTACCTGTCAGCCCACCAACCCATGATATAGCAGACCAGAGAGCAGCAGGACCCCCAAAAGATGATAGGTCCAGTTCTTCATTTTTCAATCAAGGCATCAAAGATGGAGACATGCTGAAGGACATGGCCAAGGTCATGCAATCAGCTGGCAGCAACATGTGTGAAAACCAGTGTGTGTGTGTGGGGTCCAAATGGCCCAGGTTCAAATTCTGCCTCTGCCACATAAGAGCTGTGTGACCCAGAACATGATATTGACACTCTCTGGACCTCAGTTTCCTCTCCTGTAAAGAAAATAGAACAACAGGGAAAAGTGTTAAATGACACTGCGTGCAGAGGGCTTTTCTAGGTCCCCACATGGGATAGAGCCCAGAAGAGGCCTTCCCCATATGCCCTCAGCTTTCCCTAATTGGGCTTTTTCAATCACCTGTATTCAACATGTGTATGGCACAAATGGGAACAAGTTCTCCCAGTTCCCTCTCCTCTCTGTCAAGGAAGGACAAGAAACCCTTCTTTGGAGCAATAAAGCAGAACCCCCAGCGCTGGTTAACTGCAGAGCTGGTGAGGGCTGGTAAGGCAGGTGTGGACAGGGGGTGGACAAGCACCGGCGAGGGAAGGATGCTCAGAGGCTGTGCCCTTACAGGAGCCTGTGCGGGAAGGTGCTCCCCCAAACTGGAAAAAGAAGGAGAAGCTACCCCAAGTCTCCAAGTCCTGGCATAACTACATGTGCAATGTGAGGCACTAGGAATGTTCCCCAAAGAGCTTCCCTCCCCAGCTCCTGGCCTCCTGCCACAAGCTGTGGGGAGGGACAGAGGCCCTGAAGGCGGGTGGGGTGTGGTGCTCGAGAGGGAGGCCAAGTCCTCACCCCTTCTTGATTCTCAGGAGGTGATTCAGGACTTCCAGGCCTCGGTGCTGCAGGTCTCAGACTCCCCCTATGATGAGCAGTGAGTGGGGCTCCGTGCTGGGGTGGGAGGAGGGTACAAGTAGGGCTCAGGGGGCACCTGTGGTGCTTCTTACCTGGGGACTTTGTGAGCACCCCAGGCAGAGTTTTGATCCTTCCTGGGCAGGGTGGCTGCACAAATGCCCACAGTCCATTATGAGATGCCCAATGGCTACAATACAGACTATGGCGCCGAGCGACTCCGCATCCCCGAAGGCCTGTTTGATCCCTCCAATGTCAAGGTTTGGTGGGGTGGTGAGCACTGATTTGAGATGGGGGCTGGCTGGAGTTCTTAAATTCTAGGGTATGGGAGAGGCTGGGAAGGATCACAGGGGCCAAAGCCCAGGTCACCTTTGTCAACAGGGCCTTTCAGGGAACACCATGTTAGGCGTAGGCCATGTGGTCACCACCAGCATTGGCATGTGCGACATCGACATTCGTCCGGTGAGGCCTGGGCCAGGGCTGAGTGAAAGGGTCCAGGAGTGGGGAGGCTGGGAGGGGTAGTTCCTGCAGGCTCACTCTTCCTCTCTGCTCTCAGGGCCTATATGGCAGTGTCATTGTCACTGGCGGGAACACGCTGCTTCAGGGCTTCACTGACAGGCTCAATCGAGAGCTTTCCCAGAAGACCCCACCGGTAGGTGTTCACCCCTTACCCGGGGCCCTGGACTCCACTCCTGGTATAGCCTTTTAGGACCAAGTCCATCTTCCTTCCCAAACATGGAACGTTCTGTCCATCAGAGCAGACCTCTTGCCCCTGTGGCTTCTTCCCACCTTCCAAGCCCTGTCCCTTCCCAGAGCCTAGATGTCTGCTTCTCCTGCCCCTTTCTCCCCACAGAGCATGCGTCTGAAGCTCATCGCCAGTAACAGCACCATGGAGCGCAAGTTCAGCCCCTGGATTGGGGGCTCCATTTTGGCCTCACTGGTGAGAAGGAAGGGGCCTGGCCTAGTGCTGAGTATGGGGAAGGGAACACCCGGACACACCCCACTGCCTTGCCAGCATCCTAGTTCATTCATTTAACTAACATTTATTTTTTTGAGAAAGAGAAGTGCTCCCAGAAACCTAAATGCTTTATCAGGACACAAATCAGGGAGCAGAAAGACAGGGAGTTGGAGATGGGTTGGGAGGAGGTCGTGGTAAGGCACCCACCATCCTCTGTGAGCAGAGGGGATGTCCTGGGGGTTGAGGGCAAAGGAGTGATGTGATGATGACAGGCACCTCTGAGAAGACTGTCAGGCATGAATCTTTGTGATCAGGGTGTGAGCTGGAACCAAGGAGACCTTGCCAGAAGCCTCTTCCCATGGTCTCTGGAATCGCGGACTGGGAAACAGCGGAGGTGGGGGGAGAGTGAGGAGCAACGGGATGAGGAGGTGGGCGGGTTGGTTCTGGTGCAGAAGGTGGAGAATTTAGTCTGGATCAGCCACTGGGGTGGACACAAGTCTTCGAGCAGGGAGCTGGGGTGCAAAATTCATCCCCTCACAGAGGGGATGGCAGAGCCACCACAGAAAAGGACATCCACTAGAAGGGGAGACCTCCAAGGAGACAGAAAGGAGAGTCAGAAAATCAGAGGCTGGCAGTTAGAACTTAGCTGGGGGCTGGCACATGTCAGCTCCACAGTGACTAAAGGCCTCCTCTGTGTTTCAAGTGGACAGACAGCCTGATAGTCCCTGCCTTCCTGACAGTGACAGTCTACAGTCAAGACTATTAAACAGAAAGTGACCACAAAGTGTGCAGTGATCTAGTTTGGAAGTTTCCAAGGGCCTTCAGGATTATAAACTGAGATGAGAAGAGTATGAACTTGGAAGGCAAAGAAGATAACAAGGCATTGACTGTGGGGAGGGCCAGATGCAGGGCCAAAGACAGATGCAGCAGATCTGGGTTTTAGGAGGTCCACATGCTCCCTCATGAGAGTGGGGAGTGGATCAAATGGGGCCAGGCTGAAGGCAGGGACAGGGGCTGGGAATGTAGCTCAGTGGCAGAGTGCTTGTCTAGCAGGTGCAAGGCCCTGGGTTCAATACCAAGTGTTACAAAAAAGAAAAAAAGAGAGAGAGAAAGAAGGAGGAGAAGGAGGCAGTGACAGAGCTGCTACCATCTCCACTCCGACTGGGACACAGCAGAGGCATGGGTACCAGTAAGTGTACACTGGAAGCTTATTAAATGGTACATGGACAGTACGTGGACACTGTTCGCATGCAAGAGAAAAGAAAGAGACAAGGTCAAGAACAAGACACAGATGCTAACTTATGTAGGGGCTAGGTCAGTCCTACCCAACAGGAGCACAATACAAGACATATATTTTAAAATTTCTGATGGGTGCAGTGGTGCACACTTGTAATCCCATTGGCTTGGGAGGTTGAGGTTGGAGGATTACAAGTTCAAAGCCAGCCTCAGCAATTTAGCAAGGTCCTGAAGCAACTCAGTGAGACCCTATCTCTAAATAAAATATTAAAAAATGGTGGAGGGGCTAGGGCTGTAGCTCGTGGTAGACCACTTGCCTTGCACGTGTGAGGTTCTGGGTTCGATCCTCAGCACCACATAAAAATAAATAAGTAAATAAAGATATTGTACCAACTACAACTAAAAAAAGAAAAAAAATTTAAAAAAGGCTAGAGATGTAGCTCACTGGTTAGGCACCACTTAATTCAATCCCTGGTGCAAAAAAAAAAAAAAAAAAAAAAAAAAAATTCCTGTAGCCATGTTGAAAAATAATACAAAAAAAGGTAAAATTAAATTTTAAGAACATACTTTATTTGATCCAATATGTCATCAAAATCCAACATATAGCCGGACATGGTGGCACATGCCTGTAATCTCAGCGACTTGGGAGGCCAAGGCAGGAGGATTGCAAGTTCAAAGCCAGCATCTGCAACTTAGCAAGGTGCTCACCAACTCAGTGAGAACTTGTTTCCAAATAAAAACATAAAAGGGGGTGGGGATGTGGCTGAGTGGTCAAGCACCTGTGGGTTCAATCCCCAGTACTAAAAAAAAAAAATCAGCATATTGGCCAGGTGTACTGGTACACAACTGTAACACCAGTTACTTGGAAGGCTAAGGCAGGAAGGTTAAAAGCTCAAGACCAGCTTGTCACCTTAGTGAGACCCTATCTCCAAATAAAATAAAAAGGGCTGGAGAGTAGCTCAGAGAGTAGCTTGCCTAGCATATGCAAGACCCTGGGTTCAATATCCAGTACCAAAATAAATAAATAAATCCAGTCTGTATTTTCCCCATAGATCATATCTCAGGTGGATGAAGCACATTGAGATGGCGGGCCACCAGAGGCTAGTGGCCACCACATTGGAGGGCACAGGCATGGAGAGTGGGAAGGATCAAAGAAGCAGCGGGTTTAGGCAGAGCCTGGGGGGAAATGGTTTACTCAATTGCGGACATAATGAATTTAGGATCCAGAGGAACACTTAGGGCCATGAATCTAAAAGACAGCTGGATATTTGGGTTGGAAACAAGAGATTGGTTAGGACTGGGGCTGATTGAGCCAGGCCAGGAAGTCTGTTCTCTGAGGAGAGAAACAGAGACACAAGCCAGGGCTAGACACTAACTTTCAGGTGAAGGCGTAGAACGGCCATCCAAGAGAAGGAACAGTGTGAGATGCCCAGTGCGGGACCCCTCAAATGGCAGGCTTCAGTAGGGGTGGGTGACAGCGGGGCACCAGGACCTAGAAGTTAAGTGGTTTAGGTGGTTTCAGAATGGTGAGGGAAGAGGAAAGACTTTCCTTGGGAATGAAGGCGACTTGAGAGTGCGCCTGCGCCCTGATGGAGTGTGGTGAGGCTCGGACACCTGGTATGCGTGTGTAGAGCGGTGTTGGGTGGGGGTGATTGGCTAGCCTAGGCTGTAAGTGCCACCACTCAGCTCAGGAACGGTGCCTGGCTCAGGGCAGACAGGTGCTCTATAAATCCTTGCTGAATGCATGAAGCCTTGACTACAGATGCTGTCTGTATTCCCTCTGAATACACAAAGAGGGAACAGACGGGCCAGGGAGGGTGAGACCCGGAGAGGCAAGGCCAGAGGAGGCCAGGCTTCCGCAGGGTGCGGTGGGGTGGGGGCGGTCCCTCCCCGCTCCCCCTGGACTGCCCTGACCGCTGTGTCGCCCCTCCTCCCAGGGCACTTTCCAGCAGATGTGGATCTCAAAGCAGGAGTACGAGGAGGGCGGGAAGCAGTGCGTGGAGCGGAAGTGCCCCTAAGGACGCCCCTCCGCACACACCCACCTGCCCGCAGCGTTGGGGACAGCGGGACGCGAGAGGGGTGTTCCCCGGCCAGGCCTCCGCGAGCGCAGATCCCAGCCCGCTCACCCCAAGCCCTCATCACCCTCCCTCTTCCCTTTTTGTCCTCCTAGGTTGTGATGTTTCTGAGTTAAAAGAAATAAAAAAACGTTTTACGAAAAAAAAAAAGTTTGGGGGGCTGGGGTTGTGGCTCAGTGGTAGAGCACTTGCCTAGCATGTGTGAGGCAGTGGGTTCGAGTCTCAGCACCACATATAAGCAAATAAATAAATAAAGATTCATGAATAACTAATAAATATTAAAAAAAAAAAAAAAAGAAAAAGAAAAAAAAAGTTTGGCCTCTTTGGGGGTGGGGAGCGGAGGGAGGCGAGGGGAGGGCGCACCTACATTCATCCAGATCCGACGGTGGGCGCCCGGACACAGCCCCAAGAGCCACGGACTCCTCAGGTTTGAGGGGAAGCGACCCACTCAGGGAGGATCCAATGACCAGCCGAGCTTGGAGTCCAGGGGCTGCAGGAGGCGTATGTGGTGGGGGCGGGGCCAGGCGAGGGCAAATACGGGGGCGGGGCCTGGGCGGGACCCGTGAGGGGGTCTAGGTGGGCGGGGCCTCAGCACAGGTTTTGGGTCAACTGAGAGTAGCGCTCAAACTCCCCAGGACCTATACCCCAGGTGAGCCGGGGCTATAGAGGGGATCTTGGCTTTGACAGGCGTGGGTCGGGGACTAGGGTTCTCTGTGGGCCTGGATGGGAGCTGAGGTTTCCCAGGGGAGTTCCTGACCTGGACAGAGGGCTAGTATCCTGGAGTCCTCTTCTGGGATTGGACACCTGCGACCACCACTAGAAATTTAGGAAAAACTTAGTTATTTATATCTATGATCTGTTTCTGGGTGAGGTTATCTGGCCTTTCGCTAGACTCTTAGAAGGTCTCAGACCCACCTAATAGAATCCACTTAATTTAAGTCATTTTGTAACCAAAGAGGCTCCAGCACCCAGGGTGGACTACAACTTCTCCAAGATCAGGCTGCTCTGCCAGCCTTGGCCAGGACTCCCCCAATGACTGGTGGGCCCTGACCCTGACTCCAGCCTCCCTATCCTGGATATTCACTGGTCCCTCCTGACCAATTACCCTACCCATGTGCCTCCCTCCCCAGTAGTCAGTAGGGACCTAATTCCAAAAAGACTTCCATCCACATGCCCAGTCCAAACCCCGAGTCAATTGACCCAAGTGTCTCCAGCTTAGGATTTATCAGGGCAGGGACAGCAGCCTGGGCCTCAGGGGACCTGCAAGCCAGCTGCAGAAGGGTCCAGATATCTTCATGGTGAATCTTGCATGGGGTTGAAGGGTTTAGGAAGGGATCCCGAAGGTCACTGGGAGAGTTGGAAACAGGAGAGGTACCCATATCCTCTTCTCCCTGGTTTTCAGCCCCCTCCCCCACCCCTGACGGGAACTAAGAGGCCAAAGTCTGCTCCAAGGTAAAAAAAATATTGATTGTTTTGCAGCAAGGGGGCAGGAGGGTGCTGTGGAGGGATTGGCAGGGGAGGCGCAGCCCCTTGTCCTCTGGCCTGGGCTGGGGGCCCTCTGGAAGGCTGGACTGAGGCCAGGACTACGCCCCCACCCTTGTGTGTATGGAGGGGTGAGAACTGGCCTGAGTTCAGACTGCCTGCCAGGGCTGATAAGGGGCCCTCAGGGGCTCCCACAAACGGTTTATCACTGGGGGGGGGGTGTTGTAGCCTGCAGGGCTCAGGAGGGGGCACAAGCATGGAGCGGCTTCGGGGTCTACTCCAGAGAGCGGTAAGACGAGTGGGGTTGGAGGATACCTCAGGCCTTCCATCAGGTCCCCTGGCACCCCCAACCCATAAAACCAACCCCTTCTGACCAGCATCCTGACCCTTCTCCCTCCTCCTCCTGTTCCCCTCTGGCTCCTCCCCTCCAGCCTCCCTCAGGCTCCTCTCCCTGCCTGATGCTCATTCAGCACCCCAAAGTCACAAACACCATTATTGCCCGATCCCTCCTCGTCCCCCAGGCCTTTTCCCCTTATCTCATGCTGGCCCTGTCCCCCACAGCAACAGTTGTCCCCACAACGCTCTCAGAACATCTACAAACGTGTGGAAGGTCCCCATCAGGGGCGACTGGAGGAGGAAGAGGAAGACAGGGAGGAGGGGGCCGAGCTGCCTGTCCACTTCTGCCCCATGGAGCTGAAGGGCCCTGATTCCCCAGGCTCTAGAGCTGGGCTGCCAAACCTCATACCGTGGGCAGCAGCAGGACGAAGGGCTGCCCCCTACCTGGTCTTGACTGCCCTCCTGATCTTCACTGGGGGTGAGTCATGCCCTTGCCCCGCAGTGAAGGGCCTGGACTGGGGGAGATTTCTGGTGTCCACAGAGGGGCACAAGGAGAATCTCTTCATCTTGCCACCCACCAGCCTTCCTTCTGGGCTACGTGGCCTTCCGAAGGTCCTGTCAAGCATGTGGGGACTCCTTGTTGGTGGTCAGTGAGGACGTCAACTATGAGCTGGGCCTGGACTCCCGTCAGGGCACTTTGTACTGGAGCGACCTCCAGGCCATGTTCCTGCGGCTCTTGGGGGAGGGGCGCCTGGAAGACACCATCAGGTAAGATCAGCCTGCCCCCTTCCTGGTCCTCAGTGTCCTCTCCTCTCAGACTGGCCTCCCTTTCTGTTTGCCCAGGCCCCTGGTGTCTGGTGTCTGGTCCCCTCCGAGTTCTTCCACCTGCTTCATTGGTCTCCTGGTTCATTGGAAGGATGGCAAGCACCTAGAGCTGAACTCCAGGGGGCTGAGTCTCTGAGGGTGGCATATTTTGGAGATGAAGATGCTAACTAAATGAGAAGAGAAGGGTCAACATAAGGCAGGACAAACCCAGAAAGGTCCTGCGTGCTGTACCTGGGGGCCAGGATACCAAATTGGCAGGAGGGAGCTCTGTGGGACTCAGAGGAGGAGTGTTTCAGGAGATAAGGAAAAAAAAAAAGTGAATGCATTTGTAGGGACAGACCCCCAACTACATTGCGGGAGGATGCCAGCCAGACTATGCAGGCCTATGGTGCAGCAAAGATAGCCTGTGTCTCTCCTCCTGTGAGGTAGTCCCTACACCCTAGGGGAAGGAGCCCAGCTAGGTCCAGAGAAGAGGTCAACTCACCCACGGCCCTCATCTGGTTGGGAATCATGTTCAGTGGGTCCTCCTGGGATTTCTAAGTAAATAATATAAATTGTAGTGAGCAAGAGACACATATTCTCTTTTCTGATGCTTGTATGTTTTATGTCATTTTCATTTCTTACTGCATTAGAGACAGCATGAATTTGGATATTGGTGATGGTAGCTATCTTGGCTTACTTCCTGATTTTAATAGGAATTTTTTAATAGTACTTTGTTATTGAGTATGAAATTTGCTACAGACTTTGTATGGCTTTCAAAAACTTCAATTGGCCAGCTGCAGTGGTGCACCCCTGTAATCCTAGGAGGCTCAGGAGGCTGAGGCAGGAGGATCGAAAGTTCAAAGCCAGCCTCAGCAACTTAGTGAGGCCCTACACAACTCAGAAAGACCCTGTCTCTAAATAAAATATAAAAAAGGGCTGGGGATGTGGCTCTGTGATTAAGCACAATCCCCAATACCCCCAAAAAATTGAATTAAAGAAGTTTCTATTCCTAGCTTACTGAGACCTTTTTATTTTATTTTATTTTATTTTATTTTATTTTATTTACAGTACTAGGGATCAAACTCAGGGCTTCACACATGTTAGCCAAGTACTGCTCTACCATTGAACTACATCCCCAGCCCAAGACCTTTTTCTTTTATTGATATTATGTAATGATCAGGAAAGGAAAAACAGTATGGAATTTTTAAAAAAATATTTATTTTTTAGTTGTAGTTGGACACAATACCTTTTATTTATTCATTTACTTACTTACTTATTTATTATTTTTGGTACTGGGGATTGAACTTAGGGGCACTCGACCACTGAGACACACTCCCAGCCCTATTTTGTATTTTATTTAGAGACAGGGTCTCACTGAGTTGCTTAGCACCTTGCTGTTGCTGAGGCTGGTTTTGAACTTGAGATCCTCCTGCCTCAGCCTCCCGAGGCACTGGGATTACAGGCGTGTGCCACCATGCACAGCTTTATTTATTTATTTTTATGTGGTGCTGAGAATCGAACCCAGTGCCTTGCACATGTTAGGCGAGCGCTGAGCCACAACCCCAGCCTTGGAGTTTTATTATTATTATTATTATTATTTATGTACTAAGAAGAGACCACATGATTTTTCTTTTTTAATATTTACATCATAATTTGTATTCATAGATTTCTTCATTTAAACTTCATCAAGGAATGTTATTACATTTTTGATACACTGGTAGAAACTTGATCAAGAAGTTTTTTTCCTTTTGCTAAAAGACCTCAAATCTGTGGCCTCTACAACATTTAGGGATTTTGTTTGTTTTCTTGAGCAGCACTTGGCAGCCCCAGGACTGGCTGAGGAGGTGGATGATTTGACAGGTCTAGGAACATGGTTAGCACTGTGGCTCCATCCCAGGCAGGGAGGAGAGGGTGGCATCTCGGGGCAGGGCGATGAGCTGATGTGAGGCTCTAGTTTGGCTGGGAGGGGAGGGAAAGCAGAGAGAGAAATTGATGGACGTGGAGAAACTGGACAATCTGGAATGCCTGGGTTCAGGAGCAGATATGCAGGGTAAGGGAGCTGGTTGGAGCCTGAAAAGGTCTAGTCAGAGAGTGGATTCTGGAGCTTTGAAGTCGGATCTGATAAACTCTCACTGTTTCTCTTGGAGTCTGCAGTACTTACCACAGTGCCTGGTACTTTGTGGTTTCCAGTAAATCCTCAATGGATAAATATTCCAGAGATGGAGTTCTGGGTAACGAATGACAAGAGCCAGGAAGTGACCAGGGAATTGTGTTGGTGGTAACATGGATGAAGTCATTTATTCATTTACCTAACAATTTTTTTAGTACATGCTATGTGACAGGTACTAAGCTGAACTGGTGGACATCTGACATCACAGAGACCAAAGCAGTCTGACCCTCCTGTTATAGAGCTTGCAGTCCACTGGAGGAAATCAATAGGAAACTAACAGTCACATTCACGACCATATAATCATTACTGGGATCATGGCTTTGAAAGAAAAGTAAAGGGTATGACAAATGACCATTATCAGAGGACCCGATTTAGACAGAGGGTCCGGGAAGGATTCCTTGAGGAACTGACAGCTGAGATCTGAGGGATGAATAGTGTGCCAGGAAAAAAAGTAGGTGGCAAATCATTTCAGGCCCCAAAATGACATGTGCAAAGGGTCTGGAGCACGGACCTGGACTTGGCTCTCCAGGGCTACAAACGTTGTTTTAGACTTTTTTTTTCCTTTTTAAAATATTTTTAGTTGTCTATGGACACAATAACTTTATTTTATTTATTTATTTATTTTTAATGTAGTGTTGAGTATTGAACCCAGTGCCTCACATGTGCTAGGCAAGCACTTTACCACTGAACCTCAAC